GCGTCATTCAGCTGGGCCTGGTTCAGAGCCACAGACAACAGCTCTGACTTCAGAAACGCCAGTGGCACGAGTTTGGAGAAGAGGGAGGAGTGCCACCAAGCCATTCGTCTCTGAAGACATGGCCCTGAATGCCTGTGGCGGCCATAGTGGGCCGGTGCGGTCTCAGCTGTATATGGGGCCACAGCACAGCGTCAAAGCTGACAAGCCAGAGCTGCCACCGCTCGGGGCACCGAGGCTTACTCGATGCTCTTAGCAGACTGCTTGCCCATCTTCCTTCTGTAGCTGTGCATCTGTAGCGACAGCCTGTATTTTTCAAAAACTGCTGCACCATATTTCTGGTCCCACATGGTCTTCCAGAACCTTGCCTCTCCCCGGTCAAGAGGCCGTGTCTCTTTTCCTTCCCTGGCACCTGGGTATGGCTCTGTGACTACCTTGATGGATGGAATGTGTGACCTAGAGGCTAGGTCGTAAAAGCTGACAGGGTTTCCTGACGGCTCTCTTTGGAACAAGTGTTTTGAGAGCACAGCGCTCACGCGTGGGAAGTCCAGCCTTCCCGGAGCCCCTGTGCTGGAGAGACCACGTGGAGAGACCCCACAAGGACAGAGAGAGGCTCGGCTCTGGAGGTGCCATTTGTGCCTCGCCAGGCCAGGCACCAGCCAGGAGAAAAGGACCTTCTGGTGACTGTGGCCCAGCTTTGGGCCACCCAGCTGATGCTAAGTAGAGCAGAGACTCACTCTTCCTGCCAAGCCCTACCCAAGCGTCATATTTAGGAACCAAACAAATACTGCTGTTGGCTTAAGCCACTGGGTTTTGTGGAGGTTTGCTACCCAGCAATGGACAGTCAGAGCATCATTTCAAGGAAAAGTTTGGTCACATTTGTCCTTAAGGAGTGAGACAAACCTTGACAAACCCTGGCTACTTTCAGAGGTCTTATTCAAACAGGGAAAGCCTTCATGTGTGGACTTTTAAAAAAAAATGTACTCCTGATGAAAACACTGGAGAGGAAAGATTCAAAGCACCCAAAGTGCCTCTTCATATGCACGTGGCTTTACATAAATGCATGATCATACAAAACACCTGCTGTCCAGCCGCCTTGGAAACTTGGCTTCTTTACTGCCAGGTGTATGGGACACACCACGACACATAAAAGAGTATGTTCCCTGGGCTTAGAAAGTCTAATGAAATGAGAAGGGAAGATCCTTGGCACATTTGAGTTTAGTCTTTGTTTATTTTTATTTTTGCTTTTTGAGACAGGGTCTCACTCTGTTGCCTGGGCTACAGTGCAACAGCATCATCTTAGCTCACCACAACGTTACACTCCTGGGCTCAAGCGATCCTCCTGCCTCAGCCTCCAAAGAAGTAGCTGGGACTGCAGGCTCATGCCACCATGCCCGGCTAGTTTTTCTATTTTTAATAGAGATGGGGTGTTGCTCTAGCTCAGGCTGGTGATTAACTCCCAAGCTCAAGTGATCCTCCAGCCTCAGCCTCCCAAAGTGCTAGGATTACAGGCGTGAGCCACTGCCTTGGCCAAAATTAGTCTTTGAATCCACATGGGTCACTCTGCAAGACAGCCTGGCTTCCCACACTGACAGAGGTGACAGCCCCTTACAGCCAAGGTGTCTAGAACCAGGAGCCACCTGTCCCACCTGCTCCATGATGCATGAAATAACCAGAATGTGAATAAGACCAGCCTTTTCATCCACAGGGAAGGTGAAGAGACAGAGAGAGGACATCTTGACCTAAAAATACGTGTTTAAGAACATTTCCAATCCTTCGAGGATGAGAATTTTTATAAAATAAAATAACGGTGAATTACTAGGAAAATGAGATAAAACATAGACATTAAAATTCAAGCCTAGATTTATTATTAGGTTTAGCAGACCTGAAGTTACTCTGTCCAGCTGGTATCTGTACCTGTCTCCCCGCAGACCAGCCCTAACTGTGCACCGGCTCAGGCACCACGACCCCTCTCTGGCTAGTACGGTCCAGAGAGCAGACAGAAGCTACTTTTAGGAAGACAGATTTGGAAAGGGAAAGGAGGAAAAAAAAAAAAAAAAAAAGAAGGGGGAACCCGGGGGAAAAAAAAAAAAAAAGGGAACGGCCTTGGCAAGAAAAACCCCAAAAACAAGGAAAGTAAGGGTCCAAAAAAAACCAATTTTGGCCAATTTTTTGTGTGTTTTAGAGCGAGAGGGAGATCAAAATTGCAGACAAGTCCCCATTCAAGAGAAAGTGGGCAGAGCATGAACATTTATAACACTGGCATCCTGGCAGAGGCTGGCATCAGGGCTCCCTCAATTAAAAGCAAATTCTATTTGCATCAGAGATGCACAGTAGGCTCCAAAAAGCCTGGGATGCACCCCAGATATGTGGCTAAGAGCACAGTCCTCACTCCACGGTGCTGTTCTTGGGAATCTGAGGCCTACGTCTGAGCCTTGGAGTTGCAGGATTTCCGAGGATGCTTCAGCATGTGTGTGTGCAAATGGCACGCACCAGCCCAGGGTCTACCAGCCAACTTCCATGGCGGCATGCCACCTGCACCATGGTGGACAGGTGTGTCCCTTCTTCCTTGGGTAGTGTCTGTTCTAACACATGCCATCCAGGATGCCTTGACTCTCCATGTGCAGAACTGGTCGCTGCCTCACTGAGTTGGGGGTGGACACAATAGTTCATGGTTGACAGGAGGCTGTGCAGAATGACAGCAGACTTCGACCGCATTTGCAAGTAGGTTACTTAAAAAATTTCAATTGCAATGCATTTTAGGGTTTTCATTATTACAGTCATTTTCACAACTCTTGCACACTGACGTGCTTTCTTGGGTGGGAGCAAAAGGTGTAGTCTCACAATCGTACGCATCACTCGCCTCTCTCGTCTTTATTGCTTCCATCGCCTGCAACTCTTCCTGACGCGTCGTAACTACTCATAGCAATTGGGGTCATTACAGAGCTTTAAATCCCCAAATGTTTGGGAGGAACCTTTGTAAACATCTTGTATGATAACTTTGTCAGCTTAATAAAACATGCACATTCCCAGCGATTTCACTTTTGTCATTTACACCAAAGAAATATTTGTACATGCGTATGTACATACGCATACGCATAGGAAATGTGTGAAAGAAAGTGTATTATGGCAACTTCTGGAATAATATGAATTTAGAAACCACTTAAACATCCATCAAAAGGGGAATGGACAAAGAAACTACGATTCATTCGTACAACGAAACACTCTACCGTGGTTATAACGGATGGGGCAGGTCTGCCAGTAGGAATGTGGAGAGGCCTGAAGTCGCATTTCCAGATGCCATAAGCATCATGATATCACCTCTGAATGGGAACTCCTGCAAAGTACAGCACACCATTGTGTGTTTTCTGAGAGTATACACTTCACAGAAATAATTGGTAAGGCCACATGCAACATGATGATAGTAGTTCCTTTAGGAAAGAGAAGAAGAAATGAAATGGCAATAGTCAAAAGGAATTTTCAGTGTTATTTGTCACGCTTGCATTTTTTTTGGGAAGGGGGGAAAGATTACTCATGTCTCATTTACATAGTTATAAAATAATGTCAGAAATCCGAGTATGCTGATGAGCGCGGATAACACCCATGGCCATGCCTGTCGGAATAAAGGCAAAATAAAGATAGAGGACAGGGACAAAGCCACTCACAAGGCAGTGCCCAGGGCCAGGGGCTGTGACTCTCCAATAGCCAGAGCGTCTAGCTCGGCTTGGCCCCGAGCTACTTGACCCTGGGGGAAATTATCCAACCTCACCGTGCTTTAGCTACCTTGAGTGTAAAATGGGCTTAGGAATATGGAAGTGTTCTTAGGATCAAATTAATTAATATGACAAAACTGTTAGAACGGTGCCTGCTACAGAAAAATCCCCACATAAATATTATCTATTATTATTAATCTTCAAAAGCTGTTTTCCTCATCCCGTCTCCCGGAAGAGTCTTGAGGGACCGAGATGTTCAACCTTTATCAAAATCAGGCCAGTGTTCATGGTCTCTGGTGGCTGGAACTTTTCAGTTCTCCAAAGCCTGTTCCTTCATTCCAGATCTTGATAAGAATCATGTGAAAGTCTGAAAGAACGTCGAATGGGACATCTCATTGTGCAAGTGGGGAAACTGAGGCACAGAGAGGAGAATCACGTGGCTGGCCCTACGAGGAAGTTAACAGAAGAGCTGGCCCCAGACCCCCTCCTGCAGCCTCCGGACAGTGCTCTCCCCGGGGGACACCACAGGCACCTCTGGCTGGTGGAATTAATTTCGGCTTGTGGGACAATAGAATTGGAATTTTTCTCAAAAGACCCACTTATGGAACTTTGGAAAACGGGCAAAATACTCCTGCAGCTCTGGCAACGTTTTCTGTTCTATGGAGTCCTTGGTTACAGCTGTGGCAATGGTGTAGACGGTTTGACCCTTCCGGTGCCAGCCTTGGAATGGACACCAGGGCAGGGACCGTGGAGTGCATGTGGCCTCAGGGACAGACAGGAGGCTCCTCTGCAGGAAGCTGGAGGTCGCAGGCAGCTGTCGCCCCCTCGGATGGAAGCAGCCGTCCCTCTCTTCTTCGATATTGATCTGCAAAGAAAAAAAAAATCCATCTTAATGCTCTGTCAGTGGATAATGAAGCCGTCTATTTAATATTATTTGGATAACAAGCCTCCACATGAACGGGATTCGAATGTCAGTTGTCTTAGGGGAAAAAAGATTTATTGGTTGGTAAATATTGAGAAAGAAAAGCCGATAAAGAACAGTTTCAGCTGCGGCTTCTGCCCAGAGCGGGAGAACAGGCCTGTGTTGTATTTTGGGGCCCTGGGAAGGCAAAAAATTGTGAATGTCTTTCTTTGTTGGTGGGTGTAAAAGTGGAACTCGCTACAGATAATTTCTTATTTCTCTTCGCATAGATTTTAAATTATGTAGCTTCCCTACCTTGTTAAGTATTAAAGCGGTCTTGTTTAAGGAAAAGGCACTTAAATAATGAAGCTTATGTATCTTGTTTTCAGACATCAATATCTGGCTTTGAGTGGCACAAAGAGATAAAGGGATGTGGATTCAGAGCTGGCCGGGGAGGCTGGCAATTCTAATTCGACCCCAGACTGCAAATGGATACAAAACTGTTGCGACTTTTGTTGAAGAGAAGGCTGGGTGAGCACGGGATGTTGGGAAATTGTCTTTTCTTCTTCCAGCGCTTGTGTTTCCGAATATTTAATTCCACTGTTCTCTTCTGCAGTGAAGGTCTCTTTAGTAAAGAACCTCTTTGCTGAAATTGCCCGGGGCCAGCACAGAAGCCGGATTCAGCAGCGCGGGGCTGCGAATGCGAGGAAAGACTGCCACCTTGTGGCCAGCCCGGCGAACGTCCAGGCTGCAGAGAGCCCCGGGGCGAGGAGGGGAAGTCATGCTGGGAGCTGGACACTTGGATGCTTTTAGAAAACACCCAGAGAGTAATAGCTGAGTGCCCTCCAAGGTAGGCTCCAGTGACTCTTCTGCATGTACATTGTCATCCCGAGCCAAGCGCATGCTTCTCACACACTCTGAAGGCTGAGTGAACATGAGGTAGAATCGTGGGGAAAACAAGCCCAGGCTAGGACAAAGATGAACACAAATCTGTTAATAGTCATTGTCTCCTGTGCCTGGCAGAGAGCCGGGTGTAGAACACCCAGGCCGGGAAAAGGAAACAGCAATTTGAGCCAGGGCAATGAAATCACTTCTGGTCTCTCCTCCAGTAGGCATCTGGTCAACCCCTCAGATTTGAAGCCAGATTTGAGCAGGCAAGATGCATGCACGGAGCCGTGATTTCTTTATTTTTTCACAATTGAATAAAATCATATTGCAAAAGTATCACATTATAAAAAGAAGAAAATCAAACGATATAGAAATGTACAAAGAGGAAAATAAAAGACTGGAAGCCTCACCACCTTAGTTATTCGCTGTTAACACCCAGGTGGCCAAACCTTTAGACATCTTGCTACTAATGAATCCGAATGGAAATTAAAAATGCGCTTTGATATAAGTGCAATCAGACTTTGTATTCTATTCAGCAACTCACGTTTGCATTCAACACCATGTCAGAGGCATCTTTCTGGGTCCATAAACATAAGTTTTGCATTATCATTTTTATCAATTACGTAAAAGCTAATAATATATTGATTTGATATCTGCCATGTGCCAAGCGCTGTACTAAATGCTTTGCATAAGTGAACTTACAAAATCTCACAGCAACTCTACAAGGCATGGATTTGTATTATGCAGACGAGGAGACTGAGGTACAAGGACATGAATCAGCACTCTCAGGGCGTCTGACTTCAGAGCCACTAGGCTAAAAATGTAGCATAATTTACTCAGCAGTTTTCCAACGATAGACGTTAAGTTGTTTCCAACTTTTCTAGTATAAAAAGCAAGGCTGCAGTGAAACGTTAGGGCACGTGCATCTTTGCACATTAGTGTGTTCTCTCTTTAACTTAAAAGAGGGATGTCTGGGACAAAGTGCATGCTCAGTTTACACTCTGATATGTGCCTCCCTTCCCTCCAGACAGGGCGTGCCGGCTCACACTCCATCAGCTGTATGTGAGAATTTCCAGTGCCCTCTATCCTTGCTAATACTAGGCCTTCCTCATCATTTTTTTCTTCTTTCTTTTCCCTCTGCTTTTTATTTTATTAGCCTTCGGAAAAATTGCAGGAACGTGTGCAATGTGCCCCTGTAAATGCTTCACCTACTATAGATCCACCAACTGTTAACCTTTGCCACATTCTCTCTCTCTCTCTCTGTATTCATTTGTGTCAAGCTTTGGAGTTAGCTATAGGCATCATGACACTTAATGCCTAAATACTTCAGCAAGTGTCTCTTAAGAACAAAGACATGATCCTACATAAGCATATTATAATCATTCCACTTGGGAACTTTTACATTGCTAAAACATGATTTTCTAATACAAAATCCACATCAAATTATTGAATGCAGTTCCTTGAGTTACAGTAGAGTTACCTACTGATAAACTCAACGTAAGTTGAAAATATCATAAGTAAAACATGCATTTAATATGTTGAACCTACTAAACATCGTAGCTTAGCCTAGCCTACCTTAAACATACTCAGAACACTTACATTAGCCTACAGTTGGGTAAAACCATTTTTATTATAAAGTGTTGAATTTCTCATGTAATTTATTGAATACTGTACTGAAAGTGAAAAACAGAATGGTTGTATGAGTACTCAAAGTATGGCTTCCATTGAATGTGTATTGGTTATGCACTGTCAACAAATTGAAAATTTGTGAGTTTAATCATAAATTGGGGACTGTCTGTGTTTAATAGCTTTTTGTTTTAATCCAGAATGGAATCCAGGGTCACATATTGAGTTTCATAGCTCTTTACCTCCTTAAATCCAGACTAGTTCTCCTGACTTTGTGGGGTCTTTCATGACACTGGCATTTTAAAACGTTTTATGGAATGTCCCTCAATCTGGATTTATCTGATTGCTTCCTTGGGGTTGGATTTAGCATAAATATTGTTGGCAGGTATATTACTCAGGAGGAGCCGTGTGATGCCAATTTGTCCTACAATTGGCGACATTAACTTTGATCACTTTGTTAAGTGAGTGTCTGCCATATTTCTCCATTGGAAATGTACCGTGATCCTTTGTGATTAATAAGTGGCCTACTGAGTGATACTTTGAGGCTGAATATTCTGTTTCTCAACAATCTCTCACTCAGTGATTTTAGAATCTATTGATGATTCTTGCCTGAATCAATTATTGCTTTGCTGGCTGTAAAGTGATCTTTCATTTTCCATTATTCTTTCTACTCTTTAAAAAAGTTACCACTCTTCTGTAGAGAAAAGCTTTTCCTTCTATCCCTCGGAGGTTTTTTTAGTGTCACTATGTACTCATAGAATCTTTTTTGTGTTCAGCGCATTTTTGCAACTCTCCATTTTGATAGCCAGGTAATCCCCAATTTGGCCAGTGGCAGCCCCTAGAAGCTGGGCTTGTGTCCTCTGAGCGCTTCCCGGCTCTCTGGCACAGCAAGATGCTTGAGTCATCTCATACTTCTTAGCCTCAGACCTGGAATCAGCCATTGTCCATGAGCCCTCTCATCTTTGTTTATGTGTTTATCTAACCTCTCTTATTATTGCCGGTTTTTAAGTTCACATACAACACAACTGATGCTTCTCATGTACAGTTCTAAGAATTTTAATACATATGTACATTTGTGAAGCCACCACTGCAATCCATATTTACAATGACCCCAAATCATCACGTCATACATCTTAAATATATGCCATTTTTAATTAACTATACCTCAGTAAAGCTGGGGGAAATGATACAGAACAGTTCCCTCATGCCCAGAAACGAGTTTGTGCTGTCTGTGGTCAAACACCCCCCTAGTCCCTGGCAGCTGCTCATCTTGTCTCCATCTTTATAGTTTTACTTTTTCTAGAATGTTTCATAAATGAAATTGCACAAAATACCTCCAGCCTATGGAGTCTGGTTTGTTTCACTCAACATAATGCCTTTGAGATGCATCAAGAGTTCATTCTTTTCTGTTGCTAAGTAGTGCGGGTTCCATCGTGTGGACGTGCCAGTTTGTCTATCCATTCACTCACTGGAAAACAGTTGGGCTGTTTCCAGTTTTCAGTGATTGTGAATAGAGATGACATGAACATTCATGCCTAGGCTTTTTGTGTGAACATAATTTTTCATTGCTCTTGAGTAGATGCCTAGGCGTGGGATTGCTGAGCCAGAGACTATGTTTAACTTTAAGAAAACTGCCGAACCTCTTCCAGAGCATGGTGTCTTTCTGCGTTTCCACCAGCAACATAGGAGAGTTCCAATTGCTCTTCATCCTTGCCAGCACTTGATATTGCCAGTTTTTTTTAACCCACTCCAAAATATGTACAGTGCCTCCCATCTCTTTAGATCTTCTTTGTAAATGTTATAAATGAATTAAAAAAGCTCAATCTCAATATATGTTGGCTGTTTATAATACAATTAATTATGGCTGTTAATAATACTAATAATTACTACCGATCTCACAGATGAAAATGTATTTTATGGTATTTAAAATTTTACTTTTTTAGGCCAGGTTCAGTGGCTCACACCTGCAATCTCAGCACTGTGGGAGGCTTGTGTGCATGAGGGGCAGAAAAAACCAGTGCAGTTGCTGCATGTGAGGAAAAGGGGGGGGGTCAGAACATTGTAGAAATGAGGTTACAGAGGCCTACGGAGGCCTTTTGGGGCCTCAAAGGTCAAGGCAAGGAGACTGGGGTTAATTCAAGGTGTGTTGGGCGTTGGGAAGCCCCTGGACAGGTTTAAGCAGGGGAGCGACTTCGCCTGACTTGCCCTCTTGATGTGGCTGTTACGACGTAGCTTTGTATTTGACGGGTTTCCCCAGGCTTCGTTTCTGTTAGCTGGGTTCAGCAAGCTTGTTGGGAAAGATGTAAGTTTGGGGTCCCTGAAATCGCAGGGCTGGGGGAACCACTTGCTCCACCCTGGGTTCCAGCACGGGCTTGGCTTGCTTCCCCTGACCAAGCAGAGGCATGGGCGCTGGCTCTGGGGCAGGGGCGGGGGTGGGGAGAGGAAGAGGCAGAACAAAATCCCCAGGGCCCAAAAGAAGCTCTCTTCTTCCTGGCCAAGAGTGGACTGACCCCCCCAAAGCAGGAAGCCGGTGATCACTAAAAAAGTCTGTCCTGAAATCTTGGCAACAAGAGCCAGCTAAATGTGGGTTGCCACAAGGCAAGGCCAACAGCTCTGTTGTTGTAAATATTAATAGAGCCCTCTACCTTCTACCTACTGGGGTAGGCTTTTCTTGCCAATAACAGACACATAGAATGTCAGGACCGCCCAATAAAATGCTTTCATTGATCTACTTCTGAGAACAAATAAATAATATAAATAAATATTAATATAAGAATATAAAGAATTCTTTATAAGAATAAAGAATTTATAAGAATAAAGAATTCTTTATAAGAATTCTCTACAAGAATCCTTTATAAGAACATGAAGAAATATTAATAAAAACAAAGAAACTTTTTTTGCAATATAAACATTTTATAAAATATTTATTTCTATGTAATTATTGACACATATGAAGGACTATGTGTAATACATTTTATTTTGAATTTATGGAGCATCATATTAAATAAACATACCCACCATCCAACTAGAGAAATTATACGTTACTAAAGCTCTGGAAATTAACTTTATGTATCTCCTTGATTCCATTCATTTGTCATCCCTGAGAGGTAATGATGATCTTGAAATTTTTGGAAGTCCAAAATTTCTCTTTCTCCTTCCTTTTCTAAAGTGTTTCCTTCCACGTTTGTTTTGAAAATTTTAAATCTATGGAAAATTGCAAAATAGTACAATAAATACCCATTTACCCTTCTGCTAGATTCACCAATGTTAAAAGTTTGCCCAATTTGTGCTTATTATCTATTTATCTATCTAGTCTGTCATTTACCCCATCTATCCAGCCTATCCCTGTATCCCATATATCTATTCCTCTATCATCTACCTATAATCTATTATCTACCCTGTCTATAATCTATCATCTATTAATCATTTACCCTATTGTCTGTCTAGTGTATATCTGCCCCATCTATGACATATCCTATCTATCTACCATCTACACTATCTGTCTACCTACCTATCTTTTCTGAACCCATTTGAGATGTGGTCACACCCATGTATCTATCCCATAGATCTATAAAAGCTTTATGCATCTCCTAAGATCAGGG